TTTCCCAGGCCCGCGCAGCATCCTCGGATTCCTTGGAAAGCTCTGTGTAGTTTTCTGTCTGCCTCAAAAATGCTCTACATTTCGGCCTAATGACAGGTGGAAAACCGCAGATGGCAGCATTCATCTTTAACTCAAACTCTTCTCGTTCTGAGTGGAATTCGTTTTGGCTTGTAGAAATGTATGAAGTTGCTGGGAAATGTACTTGTTTATTTTGGGGGAAACTTAATTAAGGACACGGCGTTGAAGCTGCCTAAATGTGGAATGTGCCGTGAGCTCGCCATAATGCTTTGTTATTCCCCAAAAAGGGTACATATATCCATGCGCACTTTAATTACCCAAGTGTGCATGTGTGCAAATGAGTCTAATTAGACTAAATAAATACGTTGGCCAAATACGATTGCCGCTTTGGCATTGCGCTCCATTAAAGAAAGATAAACATTTCTTACTAAATCTAGACACGCCAGTCGGAAACTATTCCAGCAGTAACTTGTTAGCACGGCTAAAAATACGACCGGAGGACCGAAGGATTAAGCCCAAGCACAGTGGGTGAAATTATTAATCTAAGGGGGTATTTTAAAGGTTGTTATTAATATACTTAAAGCCTTTTCAAGCATATTCTGTTATAATAATGTATTGAGTCACAGGAGATAACAATTCTCAGGGACCATCAGAACAAGAGATACTTACCCTTTGCCTACCCATTTCGATTCATGAATTATATAATTATGTATTATGTAATTAATTATATATTATTGTATACTTTAGTTCTTATAAAGCTAGCAGTAACCAGCTTCTCACTGTATTCTTAAAGTCCTGCCTCAGTTTCCACTGTTCCGCAAGGAACCACACTGCGTATGAGTTATGCCTGCAGAGCATTGCCCTTGACGGGGGACGCCAACAAGTTGAGAGTCGTTCCAGCGAGGGTCGCTCCATCAGGTGGCCGGGCGTATGGAGCGCTTTTATGAATGAATCCGCTGGCAACATGTTCGAGGCTAGATGCAACCTGTTCGAACGGTTGGCGCGACGATTTGACTTCGCCGCGTTGGATTTTTGAAATCAGTTGTCAGAATTCGAGGTGCCGCAGCGGTTGAAAAGCGCGGAAAATCTTAGTTTTCACTTTGCGAAACGAAGCTCCATAAATAAAAGTTTCCTGTGAAAAGCTGAGATTGAGGTTTGGCCAAACTGAAACGACTGAACGCGACCGAAAAAGAGCAAAGTGCAGAAAAGTGAAGAATTCTTTGAATCAAAGTAAAAGTTTGCGAAATTTCATCAACTAAAGTGCAATTTCTTGAAATCTTGTTGAATGAAAGTGCACTATCTTAAATTTTAATCTAATATTTACTACGAAAATCTGAGTGTGCATTTATTTAGTGAAAATATTTAGGTCTTAAATCATTGTCTTAAATAAGCAACGGAAAAGTCTTTACAAATTTATAAAGGCAAGTTGGGTTTAATTTTCAATCTTGTCTAAAACACTTCTTTAAAACATTTTAGTTAATTAACTTAAGCACTTAAGGGTCTAGTAATTAAAATAATGGCTTTAATAAGCCGAGGTCTTTACTCGTTTTTCATAATTAATTTTATTAAACGGATCTGTGAGCCACATTCATTACATTTAATTAAAAATATTAATTTATTTGTATAAAAATAAAACTTAAACCAATAGAATCATTTCCTTTTTTTTTGGCTAAATCAAATGAATTAATTTGACTAATCTAATTAGAGAGAAGTGATGGCTAAATAAATTGCAATGAAAGGAAATAAAATAAATTTGTAATCAGATCAAAACGCATAAATTTCTGTGTGTGTGTGTGTGTGTGCGTGGTGTATCTATGCGGTGAACCCGAAGCAATAATCAAACTGGCATCATGTGCTCAAGAGCTCATGAAAGCTGTGGGACGTTAGGCAAACAGCGGACTGTGCACACATCGCGGATACAGATACAGATACGGAACCAAGATACCTAATGAAGTACGCGGTTACTCCAGATATGCCAGAATTCCTGACAGAGTTTCTCGGGGTTGCAGCTGCCAAAAAATTAATGACATGTTGATATTTAAGCTGGCAACACAAGCACTGAGGTTCACTGTACAGTGTACCCAGTACAGTACACAGTACCCAGTATCCAGTACCCAGTATCCAGTACACAGTACCCAGTACACTGTACACTGTACACCGTGCTCCTGTGCCCTGTGTATTTCCCCCTGTATTTAAAGAAGCAGCCCAACTGTGCAAACACCGCAGCTTCAGCTTCTGCTTCAGTTTCAGCTTAGACAAAAGCCCGAAAAGTGCCTAAATAAATGTGAAATGTGTGAATACAAACAGAAACTCAAACTTAAATGCGAGTATTAGCCAAGCAGAATGCAAATAATCCGCCAACAACTGGAAGAATAAGTAGTGTGCGTGAAAACTTTTGGGACACTGTGCCTTAATGAACAAATTTTCCTTGCAACGTTCTGGTTTCTGGGCAGTTTACGAACTCGCCAAGTAATTACAAAGTAGCGCCGTAAGAATAACAGAAAACTGCTCCTCGAATTAATCCAATCTAAGTGAATGGCCAAAGTTTGCAGAAAAAAACAAAAAACGACGCGGAAAAAGATGAACTGTAAAGGCAAGTCGACTAAAATGTCGTCCATTTGCACAAAACTTTGCTTGTACCAAAAACTTTGGACAATAAACAAAAGAGTAGTGAGCTTCAATGTATGTACACACTTCTCCCCATTCAAAAAACAAAAAAAGAGAGGAACCAATGGGGTTTTATTACCTGTAGATGTCACCATTGTTACGTATACGCCATGGTGGCCGAGGGGAATTTAACTGAATGTCAATGATGTTTTAATTGGCCACTGTAAGCGAGGCCAGAGAAATTGCAAAAATATTTTATATTTATTCTTTTATATACAATACTTCGTTTTCCGAATAAACAAATGTAGTCCGACTTTTAATCGGAAGCATCATGCTCTGTTGACCTACAAAATCAGAGTTGTTATTTTTCTGCCTTGCATTAATTGAATTTAAGCACAGGAAAAACTCATTGAACCAAAAACTTTGCTCTTTTCCGATACCGATATACGAGAAGGTATCAATTATGGCATTGTCTAGACGGTTTGGACAGGGATTATGCTGGTGTGTGTGTACTTTTCGGGGTTTTTACTGCAAGGAATGCAAATCAATCAAAGGCTAAAAAAGTTTTCGCCTCCAGCTGCTCATCTGTCGTCGCTCCGTGGATTATAATACAGATCCCCGGGACATACGTGGCACAGATGTGTGATTTTCGCCACACTTTTTATTTTTTGGGAACCCAAGAACCGAGACCCGGCTGCTTTTGCTGATCAATCAAATGCGCATTTGTGTATTAATCGCGTTGATTAAACGCGAGAGATGGAAAGTTCACTTTAAGATATGTGCGGGTAGAGGCAATCAGATACAAATTGCTTTAGTGACACCGAGTCGAGCAGGTCAGCGAGACCATTAATCTGGTTTGCACACGGGCAATTAGCAATGAGAGCCACTACATCTACATGCTTAGATGCGATCAGGTCCAATTAATGGCTCGATTGCCGACAATTGATCTGCATCAATTGACCAGAATGGGAGGCATTCGAAAATGCTGCCGGACACGCGTTGAATTGGGTTTATTGTTTTCCAATTGGCGGGAGAACGCAATAGCAAGAGCCAAACGAAGCGTCCAATCTAATTTATGTTCATAAATTAATTTGGAAAATGAAATTTTATGGAATTTCACTTTGAACCCACCTCACTGCACAAGCACTGGGTAAAGTCGAGTTCCTAAGGCGAAGGCTTTCGAATTCGCATATCTATTGAAACTTAATCGGAAATACCCAAGTACTCGTACTTGTACTTGTACTCGGAAACGGAGGCGCCTTCGAGGGTTGCGGATAATTGTTGCCGGGTAATTGCAAGTGTTCAGGTCAACTGCATCCATTATGGAATTGTTACTGCTCCGAGCAGGGTCATTATTGTGAGGCAATCCGGAGGTAATCAAGTGGAATTGGTCGTCTGAGCCACTGGATTAACCAAGGTGCTTCCCCTCCAAGTGCTCTTGGTGCACCTTTAAAGAGTTAAATTGCATCTGTTTATCTGGAGACTGGATTATCCAGGAAATGGAGCAATATAAATAATCTATAGTTTCATTTTGACCTTGAAAAGAAAGACTTTTAGCTGGCTGGTTCGCACAGGTAAAAGCTTTTTAATGTTAATGACAATTTAAAGTGGTAAATGGTCGTTATGCTTGGTCAGCATTCAAATGAAATCATAAAATTCAGAAGCAGAACACAAGAACAGAACGCTTTTGTGACAAATTAGTATTCTCCCCTAATGGATTTTTAAAAGGATTCATCTGTCTGGGGTTACCTGCAGATTTCCCATATCCATTTCCCATTTCAATTTCCAATCAATCTGTTGTCTGGCTGCCGAGTGTATATATATTGAATTGCACCTAAGCAATCAATATATTTGACTTTGGTCCGGCTCCAAGCTAAATTAGAATTTTCCTGCAAAACAATCAAGTAAACAAGACAGCTGAGTGAAAGACTTTGGTTTTGTGGGAAGCCAATCATTTTACGCTGAAACAAATTAATTGAAAATGTGCTTCACTTAAAGACAACATTGTAAGGGGAGAAATTGTATTTTAATCTTAATTTAATTGTAAAACTCTTACCTGAATTCCGAGAAGAATCCGGGCAAGTCTTGGGCTGTTTGTGCATTTTTTATGGGACTTAAAGTCCTTTGGCATGTGCCGATAAGGTTGAATGGCTTATCACCGCCCGAGGGAATCTCTTAAATCATTCTTAATCAACATCAAAACGCTTCTTGCTAAAACCGTATAAATAGAATGTTTCGTTGGGCATTATATTACGCCACCTTTTAAGGTATCAATGATTGAATTTTCCCAACTTGAAGATGAATTATTTTCTATTAAATCGTTTTACAAAGAGGAATTTGACAGTTGACTAATTTGATTTCCAATCTATTTACAGTTTAAGCTCAATACAATATCATGTCGACGGCAGATGCAAGGTAAGGATACCCAAGATAAGCTGCACCTGTGGTCATTACGCCTAAGGGTAACACCAAGATGTAATTGAATTTCACTTGAACGGGAACCGTCCAAACTGAGTGAATCAATCAATTAAGTAGAGAACATACCCGATATGGAGGCCGAGTGGGCCTTCGATGACCCATCGTCGCCGGCACTCGACCGCCTGCCCCCCGTGCCCAACTCCTCGATGGATGTGGATGCCGATAATGAAGTGGCCGTGGGCAACTGGTCTGCCATGAGTAACTTCACCCGCCTCGTGGCCGCCGCTGCTCCTGAAATAGCCAACTTTACGCTCAATATGCTGGACTTGGGCGTGGGCCTGGCCACGGATGTGTCCAATCTGAGCGTGGCCACCACGCCCCTGCCCGCCTACGCGATCGCCAATAGCTCCTCCCTGGCGCACACGAACAGCCGGCACGAGTCGCCACCAATGGCGGAACAGGTGCCTGAGCATGTGATGGACCACGCCCCCAGCTCTCACGATCCGGGCTACTGAAGGTCTATGTGTTGGCCGTCATGGCACTGTTCTCCCTGCTGGGCAACCTGCTGACCATTTGGAACATTTACAAGACCCGCATCTCGCGGCGGAACTCGCGGCACACCTGGAGCGCCATCTATTCGCTGATGTTTCACCTGTCCATTGCCGACGTCCTGGTCACCTGGTTCTGCATCATCGGCGAGGCCGCCTGGTGCTACACGGTTCAGTGGCTGGCCAACGAGCTCACCTGCAAGCTGGTGAAGCTCTTTCAGATGTTCAGCCTCTACCTGAGCACCTACGTCCTGGTCCTGATTGGCGTGGACCGCTGGATAGCTGTGAAGTATCCGATGAAGTCGCTCAACATGGCCAAGCGGTGTCATCGACTGCTCGGTGGAACTTACATCCTGTCGCTGGTGCTCAGCTTGCCACAGGTAAGTGGATAATACTGGAGGAAAGAGCCTGCGAGAATATTGCTATAGACTTATAAAATATGCAGGAGATTATTTTGCAACTACAAATATTGATTTTAAACGTGCACAAGAATTTTATTTTGCTTCTATTCGCTTTATTATATGCACAAGAATTTCATTTCAAGGAATTAAATGTATAGCTTGTCCAACAAGGGCCCCCTCTTCCAACTTTTAAGTCGCTTTATTAAGTCTATAGTCTATGGTCTCTATTTTTAAGTGCATTTTTCTACTGCAAAAACGAGTTGCCTTCGGGGAAGAATTAAAGCGTCTGAATTTAAATTTCTTCCAAGAAACAACGGACAAATGATGGCATTCCGCCGTCATAGAAGTTTTGAGCCAAATGTCGGAGGATGTTGGTACATGGCATGCCTGTGAAAATAATCTGGCCCACTAGCAGCCACTTACCGAGGGCGTTCCATTACGCTAAGTTAAATCTGGGGCTCAGCCGGCAAGGAGATCCGCGAAAGAAACTCCTGCCAGCCAGCCAGCCACTCCGGGGTGCTGATGAAGTTGAAGTAATATGTTTACTTTATAACACGTATACGCCCCGTGGCCGGGCGCAAATAGTCTTGAGCGGAAAGAGCGCCGGAATGTGTCTGTGCAGACATTAAAAATGATTGCCGTTCGCCCAAAAAGTGTGCACTAAATGTGGCTTTAGGCCGCTGCCACGCCCACGCACACGTGTCCGCCCCCGGTGGATGGGATGTTTAAGGATTGGGATTGAGATTGGGTTAGGATAGCCAATCGAATTCCGGCCAACAAAGGGTTTTGTTTTCTGAGAGGATCCCAGAAAAAAAAGAAACAGACACAGAAACAGAAAAAGGTCCTGCCAGGAAGTGTGTGTGTCTGCCTGACGACAGACATTATTCATATTCCCCGCGATTCATGGTGTGCAGATAGACCGAGTGATATATTCGCTCCACTCGTCGGATAAGCCCGAATGGGACTACATTAATGGGAATCCCTACGCTTTGTTCTAGGACTCGGCTGCTGCCGCCATTCCGGCACATTGATTGTATAATGTATGCCGCGTGTCCCCGATTACACACTCGATTCGTTGGTCCTGATTTATGGCCCCGGGCGAGGTGTTCCTGGTGGCCCCGCCATTCATCAGATTAACTCGAGTGCCTTGCCGACTGTTGCTTTGAGGAGGAAACTGTCACGGCACTCGAGTCCTGGCTGCGTCTAAGGTGACTAATTAGCAGAATGCCACTTCAAAGTTGCCATGGAGCCGGCGACTAATTTAGTTTGATTGAAAAGTGTGAAACGAATCCCCCAAGAGGCCATAAACTCGGCTCTCCTTGTGACCAGATTCGGCTTCAGGATTCGGTATTCAGGGAAATCTGTTGAAGAGTTGGCTTACCATAAAGGGAAGTGGGCACAAAGGCTTGACCTTTCCCTTTTCGTGTCCCAACCTTTGAGATCCCGAAAAGAAAAGAGCTTTGCTTTTGGGGGGCTTAAGAGGAAGCAGGAAGGGATGATTGCCTGTTGAGTGGAAAGTTTTCCTGGGTTTTTCTCACCTGAGTTGTGCAACTCTCTGAAGCTCTCTCTTACTCGCCTAATTCCCAAAAGAATCCTATAATTTAACGGATTTAATTAGGAGAATTAACCACATTGCCACAAAGTCTCGCGAGTCGTGTGTTTTATCAGAGCAATATAGGGCGTGAAATAATAATTTCTGGCCGAGATTAGGCGTGAGTTTAGGTGGCTTCAAAGTGTCTGACTTGCTTAAATGCCACAAAAAAATGTTAAGTCTAATTACATTTTTATGTTTCGGTTCCTGCCTCGCAACTCGAACATTTTTTGGCACATTTTGAAGTGGGTTGAGGTCACCGACTCTGACTTCCAGCAGCCCAAAGTTCAGCCCTCAAATACTTCGGAAAACAATAATAATAATAAAATGGGCATAATGTATTGGCCTGCATTTTAAAATAGATCCGGAGAGACTTTGCCAACTGTCACGCTAATCCTAAATATTTTATTTGCCCCGCACAAGCTATTATGATATTGCGGGGAGAGTTTGTTCCATTTTTAGAATGTCCGCCAATATTGCTACATAATTAAAGGGCCACTGTCACCCAATTAAAAGCAACTTTGCAATCATTATGCCAATTTTTATGGTCCACTTTTCGTCGCCCCATGTTGACTGCGCTCTGGGAAAACTTTCTTCATTTCGTTTTCCTTTTATTGAACATGCGACATAAAATTTATGCGGCTTACAGACGTGACGACCACCAAGGAGCAGGGTCCAGAGTCAGAGCGGCCAGAACCTTCCGGCCAGAAATAAGGGAATCATCCGAAACAATTTTCCGGACAACTTTTCCGCTGTCACACGTCCTCGTCCCGTCCTAGTCCTCGTTTCCGTCCACGCAGCAGCAACCGGCACATGTCGAATCCAATATGAGACGCGCCGCTGAGCTCGTTGGTTTCAAATAAAAAACCAAAATGAAAATTTACTTCTGCTGCCAATAAACAACAAATGTTTTCAACAGCATTTATTTGGCTCCCCCGTTCGAACGAAGAAGAAAATGAAATGAAAGTGTGAGGTCTCACACCCATTTTCGCGGAACAATAATACCCACGATGTGAACTCAAGGCGGTACAATGGAAATTCAGGGGTCCTAATAGAGTCAAAGTCAGAGTCAGTCCTGGCAGAGTCAGTCCTGGCTGAGGAGCAGAGTGTCAAGGCTATTGAAGGTATTGTTCTGCACGTTGAGTGCGAAAGCGATTGTATTGTAACTCAATTATCATTGTCGTTTCTGAGACATTGTAATGTGCACAAAACCAATTAAAAGTTGAGCCCATGTGGTGAAAAGATATTAATTTCAGTTGGATTCGTACCGAGTTTAATTCAACATAAACAAGGCGATCCATCTTTTTTTTAACATATTAATTAGGCGAAATGATAGTGAAAACATAATAAATGAAGTTATATTTATAATTACAAACAACGTGTTGCAATAATATGTTCGTTTCCTAAAAAAAAAAATGTTTATTTTGGTAAATGTAATGCAAAAGTAATTATTATGCTGGTACTATTTATAATTACAAACAACGTGTTGCAATAATATGTCCGTTTCCTAAAAAAAAAATTGTTTATTTTGGTAAATGTAATGCAAAAGTAATTATTATGCTGGTACTTCTTTGATGTTTATGTTCACAGACAATTTGAGCTCGCATGGACACCTTCACTGCAATCGAATTCGATTTTACTAAACAGAATCCTAATTAGGTTTAAAATTGAAGCCTTTAAACTTTCACCTAATATAAGATGCATAATAAGTGAACAAATATTTAGTGCTGTTATTTCACTTTAAGGCAAACTTTTTGGGTGCAATGTGCAACGTGCAACTGCAAGTTTTCCAAGAAAATATTTAAAGACTGGCTACAATGCTTGATTCAAATTGTTCTTGACTTGAACTCAGTTCAAACTTTTCTGAACGAGCTTAAAACAACCAATTATCCGCTTCAGAGGCTCCCTCTTGAAGTTTGCCCAAACACAGTTTGCAGAAATGAAGTTTTCGGGAAAGTTTTCGAGTGTCGAATTAACGCCACAACCATCTGCTCTCTGTCTTTGTCTCGTTTTCTAGGTGAGGAATATAACATATAGATCTATATCTATAAGTATCTTGTGGCCTGGTTGGTCTTGAAAGTTATAAGTGTGCAAAATTAATAAAAATCAACCATTAAACGATTATCCGTTTGTCGTTGATCCTGGGGGCTTCTGGTAGTTTTACTCTCCCGCTTAGTTGGGCGTGGAAAGGTGGCCCCATTTCCTCCGTTTTCCTCGCCCTCTCCACCATTTTTCCCATTTGGGTCAGCTGTGTCAACACAGCGGCTGACAAGAAAGCCATAAAAAGCGCAAATAAAAAGACTTTTAGCGTATTAGTTATGCGCTGACACATCCATCCTTGGTGTATAAGTCGCCAGTTCGGTTTTATCAGCGTCGGCCAGCCCCAAATCCTTCCGAGTAGAATCCTAAGGGACGTCCTGCATCGGCAGGTAGGGAGTAGCAACTTTCTAGTAAATTGAACGCACAGAATGTTCCAACAATGGAAAAACATGGTATCCGAAAACGTTCCCTCAATTACGGCCATATTCAGAGTCGACAATGGATAATGGAGCGGGCCAACAGAAAAAATTAGACCTTCCTCACCCATAACCAAGGACCTTTCACCACTTCTCCGCCGCCTCCTGCCGCGTGGCAGGATCAAAGCGTCGTTCTGTGTCAGCAATTTGTACCTACGGGTCGCATGTGGATTTCCATTCTAACATGTTTCTGTATATACTTCCGCACTCTTTAATGCAACCAGAGATGTGAGTTGTCTCCGAGGTACACACAAAGTTGAAGTAATTTGTTCACGTTGCCTAGTTACAATGAAATTAATTACATTTAAACTAAAGGAACATGACTGATGTGTCTCATTTATACAAACTTCTTGTGGCTTTTCTTAATTGTAAATAAGGAATATGTGTTGGTGCTTAGTAAATCAATATAGTTTAAAAATATTTTAAAGAGTATTTCATGTGGAAACAAGAAAGGAAGCTAACTTCGGCACGTCAAAATTTGTATAGCCAGATTTGCAGATTGAAATTCGATCACTAGGAATTAATACAATATAAATTATATATATTTATATTGAAAAACAATAAAGTAATGTAAATTTTCCGATCGTTTCTATGGCAGCTATATATTTGTATATATATAGTCCACCGATTTGCCATGCTCCGATTTATATACTAGTAAAATTATATAGAAGAATAACTCAATAATTTCATTAAAATAGCCTGCTCTTTGTTCTAAACCACATCTCGCACATCTGTACATATGATTCCCAACTGGTTCTATCATCCCCGGAACGAAGTGACTGCTGCCGGCCAAGTTTCAGAAATGTGTTGTGTTACAAAAGTTGCAAGTCATTGTTTATTAGTGTTCAAAGTTGGTAACTGATCAAACAGACTTCCTGGTCATAGCTACTTACTTGTCATAGATAAATACTATTCAGACTTACTTACTGGTCAAAGATACTTACTGTTCAGAGTTACTTCCTGCTCATAGCTACTTACTGCTCATAGTTAAATACTGATCATACTTACTGATCGTTCATATGGCACCTATATATATCTATATATGTAGTCCACGGATTTGCCACGCCTCGACTTGTATACTAGTAAAATTATATGGAAGAATAACTCCATAGTTCATTCGAAAAGCATTCTTTTAAATTTGTTCCAAAACGTCTGTTACACATCTGTGCATATGATTCCCAACTGGTTCAATCATCCCCGGAACGAAGTGACTGCTGCCAGCCAAGTCTCAGAAATGTGTTGTGTTACAAAAGTTGCAAGTCATTGTTTATTAGTGTTCAAAGTTAGTAACTGATCATACATACTTACTGGTCATTGATACTTAGTGATCATTTTTAATTACTAGTTATAGATACTGATTGTTCAGAGTTACTTTCTGCTCAAAGTTAATTATCCTTAAACCAAAGAGTGTAGAGTAAATTGTATAGTCCTCGCTTAAACAGTGCTTGCCCTTATCATTTTTATTAATTTAATAATAATTCATATACCCTTGCAGGGCCTTATAATTTCATATAAGACCATCGATTATTTTAAGTTTAATTATGCTTGATTTTAAATTAACTTCAAAGTATTAATAAGCAATTATACCTGCGTATAGGTAAAATTACTTATGTTCAATTATATTATATAATACGAGACTTAAACAATAATCCCAACTTGATATGATTTGATATTTAATATTTCTCTGTGGATTTTAAATATTCGTCCAAGTACGTTTAAGAGTTAGGCAGCAAAAAGTACAAGTAATTGTGAATAATATTTATCTGCTTACTTTTAAACATCTTTAGTTTATTTGTAAATGTTACTTTGCAGTTAGTATCTTAAATGAATATAAATTTGTATATAATGTTTGCCAACTATTCTCAATTTACGTCTGAACTTTGCTCGTTTCCCTCCCTCGTTCCGGCACTGCCTCCTTTGATGTTGATGTTGACGAATTGCGCTGAAGTTCTTTATCTTCCACGTGGCGCGTGGACCCTTCGTCGAAGAGTTCTACCAGTGCGTCACCCACGGATTCTACACGGCGGACTGGCAGGAGCAGATGTACGCCACCTTCACACTGGTCTTCACCTTCCTGCTCCCACTGTGCATCCTCTTTGGCACCTACATGTCCACTTTCCGGACCATTTCCAGTGAGTTTCTAATAATAATATGATTTTTAGGAACACCCAAATATAGTGCAACCCCCACACTTTTACAGGTAGTGAGAAGATGTTCCAGGGGTCGAAGTTGGCCAACTATTCCACGGCCAAGCTGCCCACGCAGACGAATCGACAAAGGCTGATACACAAGGCCAAGATGAAGTCACTCCGAATCTCGGTGGTGATCATCATAGCGTTCCTCATCTGCTGGACCCCATACTACGTCATGATGATTATGTTCATGTTCCTCAATCCGGACAAAAGGGTGAGTGAGTCTATGGCGTGGGTGTGAGCTCGAGTTGGGTTTCAAGGGTTTCGTTCCTTTATTTTGGGCCACCGAAATTTCCGGCGTGCTGAATGACAAGCAGAAAGCGATTCCTGGTATCGTCTAAATGCAAAGGCACATCAATCAGCAGTCGATTTGTCAGTTTATATTCCGACGTATCGGGATGCGGGGTGCAGTGTCAAAAGAAGCCTTTGTTGTTCCCTCCAATATTTACGGCCCGTGGCAGTCCTTGTCTCTGCTCCTCCGTTCTGTGCGAGAACGGGAATAGAAGGACCCGGCTTAGTCGCAGATGGTAAATCCGTTTAGGGCCACAATCTTTTCCACGCTTTCCCAACGACTCCGACGCACATAAAAATGATTTCTTATGCTCAATTTTTAATTAATCGTTACGGCACCCGACCGGCCGGCCGGTCGCAATTTTTCCTTCTTTCTTAACGGCGCCAGCGGACACGGCGTCCCAACTTTGATGACTTGCCAGAGATTGCCCGTAAAACCCAGCTCCTGCGGAGGAGGAAGCCACCTTATGGCTCCACCCACGCAAAAGCGGGAATAACCACAAGCAGGAGCTCGGTTAACCGCAGCTCAAATATCCTGTAAAGCCTAGGGGAGATTATTTTCAAGGAAAAGTATATTCAAATTTACAAATTGTTTAAATTACATGACAGTTAGCCACATTGCTTGCATTGTTAGTTGTTTAGTTTTCAGTTAGCTTTCTGATTAAATACACAAACGTATTTAGTTATGGACATCCTTTTGTATTCTTGGTTTACATTTAGCTGCGGGAGCTAATTATAAATATTTAGTTTAGAGATTATAGTGCTTGTAAAACATATGATATGTGTATTACTAATACAAGTCAAAGAATGCATTTTGCATACAGTGTACCTGCCACTGGGGGCCATTTTGTTCAAAGGATGCTAGGATGCCTAAAGTGCACAAAAGGATTTATTTAATCCCTGCCCAAGGAAAACACCTTTTTGCCAACGGTATCCGGTGGCAGCAAGGACCCGGGTCAGCCACAAAGCGGTCACAATGTACTCACTCAAACATAAACAAGCACCACAAAAGGGTCTGAATAGGGAAATTAATTTGAATTTTCCGCATTGCTTGCAGCTGGGCGACGATCTGCAGGACGCCATCTTCTTCTTTGGCATGTCCAACAGCCTGGTCAACCCCCTCATCTACGGTGCCTTCCACCTGTGTCCCGGCAAGGGCAGCAAGTCCAGCGGCGGCGGCGGCAATAACAACGCCTACAGCCTAAACAGGTGAGTGGAGCACACAAAACATGGTAATTAAGTGGAGTTCTTAAATGGAATCATCAAAAGAATTTCGCTACATCAAATCTTTGATTTTAACGATTAAGCTGGTGTTGCTTTAGGTTTTTATAAAAGTTATATCAACATTTTACATATTGTGTTTGAAAGATGAAAAGAATTGTGCAATAATTTAGTTCATTTGCAAATAATATATGATTTTAAAGTGTTTGTTATTATTATATTAATTGCTTTTAATTTTAAACAGGTTATAGATCTTAAAATATCGCATCACTTATTTATATCTAATTTTTATTAATTTCAAAATAATTCATGACAAAAAAATTGAATTTTATAAATTTGAAAACTGAAAACTATGCAGATTTGTTAATCTAATAAAAACTAACATAGGAAAGCTTTCCGAATTAAATTTAGTGCATTTTTGCCTGTGCTATGAGTTTTTTAAACTTGGATTTGTCGAGAATATTGTCATACAAGGCCATCTATTATTTTAAGTTTAATTATTCTTGATTTTCGATTCGATGATTTTAAATGAACTTTATATTATTTTCAAGCAATTATACCTTCGTATAGGCATAATTTCTTATTCTCAATTATATTTTATAATACGATTATATACGTGTACAATTGCAACAAATCAACTCAACTACTCGACACAAAACTATCGGTGAAAATTTATTTATTCTATATTTTCAGGCCCTTAAAGTATTGTTTTCAAAACCCACGAGATTTAAAAAAGAATCCCAACTTAATATGATTTTTTGTTTGAATTGATTTGATTATTTTAAAAACTACTAAAATTACACACAACGAATTGGCAATACGTAACTGATATTATATTCTTTTTCTGGTTACTTTTTTTTCGCCCACCTCATCCTCCACTCCACGTCCCGGTCTCCCCCACCGATCTCGCTCCCGGCACCGTTCCCGTCTCCTAGGGGCGACTCACAACGCACTCCCTCCATGCTAACGGCGGTGACGCAGGTGGACGGAACCGGAGGCAGTTCCCGGCAGATGCGAGCCTTCCGCCAGCAGAGCTATTACCGCAGTTCCAGCAACGGCACCGGCGGAGGATCCTGCGGAGGTACTGCCTTCAAGGAGCAGGTCGGCCTGCTGCATGTGGGTCCGGGATCGGGTCCCTCCGGTGGCTCCCCCTCTGTCCCAGGTGGCAGCAGTAGCGCCACGCCGCAGCTGATGCGGAAGGGATCCGCCCTGCTAGCCCGCCATCCAAGCTGCCTGAGGGAGCAGGAACACCAGCAGCGACTCCTGCTGCAGAACCCACCCTCGACGCTGGTCCTTAGCTACGATAGCCATCGCGGAGGTGTCGGCGTGGGCGTGGCCCATGGCGGGCTGATGGACAACAACGAGCGGGTGTCGAGCGTGTGAGAGCAGCTGGCGATGGCGGCAACAACGGTTGCGGCGGCGGATGCAGCGGACACAGCGGATATGGTGACGGTGGACGCCGATGCCTGCTCCTGCTGCCATTGCCTGAGCAGGGAGCTGGTGCGACGGCAGCTAGAACTCCAAGAGCTTCCAGTGCAGTAAGAAGCGACTGCTAGCCAAGAGTGAGAGATGTAGGGGGGATCCTTGCCAGCAGAGGGTACCGACTGGAGGCGTCGATGATCAGATCACCGAGGCGTGCAACTTGTGCTTAGTTAATGCTAAATCGAGAGTTAAGTCTTCAAACACAATGGGTGTGCTTAGGATTAGACTTAGTCCGTACATAGTGGTTGCCCACCAATGGGAGTAACTCCTGGTCAAAGAATCGTGAATTTTTAAGGTAATTTTTTCATTATAAGATTTAACATACAAATCATTTGAATAATTATTTTCCTAACAAGACAAACAAAAGTTGCAATAAGTAATATGACTTCTCATGAGTTCCTCTCAATTGCTGGGCAACTTTGAAAAACTTAATTAGAACCAAAATGTAAGCTTAGCGTTTTGTTATTTCTATTCTCCGGTTAATTTACACAAACTCGATAGTTCCACTTGTGTGTATAAACAGCCAAAAAAACAGGGTAAACATTGCAATTGTAAATATTATAGTTGAACTTTTTAATGTGGTTGCCACAATTCAATCTAAGAGAATGACACTTCAGAAATGTTACATTTATTTTCAAAGATTAGAGGAATAAAAATGAATTCTCATTCAAAGAATCCTAAACAGTAGATATAAATAATTAAGAGGATATAATTTTATAGTTTAGTGTTTCATTCGATTTAAGACTTACACGTAATAGTTCCAAGAACAATTACTCATCCCATAATAATTTGGTAACTCGAAATTCAAAGTTGTTAAAGGTCACTTTTCCTGGATTTGTGGCTTTTCCGGTGCATGTAGGTGTCAGTCTCTCAATGGACTCAATAATTTACGACCAACAGTTGGTAAAGCATACGAGTTACAGTGAAACATCACAATTCAATTTGGGATGAACAGATGATGTCGATGTTACTTTAAATTCCGCTGGACGATGGACGGAGATGGGTAGCTTACACATGTATGTCATTAATGAAAGCCACTGCATTATGCGAATCCTCCCCAGGGACTTTGAAATTTTCAAAATGCCGCATGTTTAGGTTTATGCTCATCTATCCCACATCCGCGTCCCGCTTCCCGTTTGCATATTCATGCGGCCTCCGTACTTCGCTGCGTACTTATGTATAAATAATCTGTGTCAAATTTGTATAGTTTATTTTTTAATAAAACCCGAATGATCCTTTGCGAAACTTTACGAGGCAACTTTTACGCGCCACGCACAGCTCAACACGTTGATGAACTAGCTGCCTGTTACGCTCCGTTCTTGGTTCCTGCGGCGGCTCGCTAAGCGTGTACCCCATAAATCCTACGGGGCTCACGTCCACCCAGAGCCGAGTATATTACAAAATTTTATAGGCGGCGCAGGCGGAGGTTTGCCCATCACGATAGGCAATAGCGGGGGACACTTGCCAGGAGCCAGAGCTCACAGGAACCAGGACCCACTCTCCTGGCAAAGTTCGTGCAAAACATTGTTTGCGAGCGACGAACAATGCGCCTCCCAGTCTGAATTTTGAAGCTGCGCCGGAATCAGGAACCCAATTACCACAAATAATGAAAGATGGACCCCGGTGGGGTTGGCGATTGACCCCACTCCTCGCCAGAAGAGCGAAAACCTCATTTGCCACATCGAAAACATTTCGAAATCAATATTATCTTTAACTAAGAATTATTATCATTTTCTATTTACAGAGTTTGCTTTCTAACTGCAAGATGGGATAGAGGAGCGTTTTCCTTAGTGACTTCGGCCTTTGCAAAACTTTAAAAACACTTGAACCGAATTTGTTTTCAGTGCACAATTCAACTTTTAAGTACGAGAATTTGCTACTGGTTCCCGCTACTGACCAACTGCCCAAGTTTAGAGCCAGCATCCGGACTGCGGACCAGTCCATTCCAAAATGTAAATGCTGAACTGAAATTTCCTATGAATGCGTATTTTATTTTAAGTACGCATTCCACATCCAACAAAGCAATTCAACGGCCGAGGACGAAGAAGAGGCACTTAACGAGCGGGTCGAGGTCCAGAAATTAAAAGCATTCCGCCGCTAGGCTTCTCCGTTTTATTGGGAATAAAAGGTTGAATTCGAGGGCCGCGCAATAATGGCAATCGTAAAACGGAAGACATGTACATAACATATAGTACATCCCATCCTGGAGGCTCCGCATTCGTATAAATATCTGACTAAGGCGACCGACCGATGTGTAGACAAGACATCAAGACATTGTTACAACAATTATACAAATTTATGGACCAATTCCTGGGGCTATTATCAACATGACGCAAACTTGGCCTATCGTTGACCTACATTTCACGAACTCTCCATTCAAGCGTGAGCGATAAAGTCCTTTGACACATCAAAACAGGAGCATTAGCATTGAAGCCGCAACATTATTTGTATGGAAGTTTGTACTGCATAAATCCATAGAATACCTATTAGGGAAAATCACGAATTCACAAGTGGCCTGTATGGTGAATGGATACTGTAAGATATTTGAGCTTCAACTTTGGAAGCTAATTAAATAGGAAAATAAATAAATAAAAGGGGTTCTTAGTGCGATTAATAAGGAGGTGGAATAACCGTGGCTAACGATCATTGTCTAGTTAAAGGTATGATATTTTAAATCTAAGTTGGTGGAACTTAAAGAATGTTGCCAGAAAAATATTGCTAGGAACATGTTGAGCAACATCCTTTGGTGCTGCCAACACAAGTATGCAAGCTACAAAGGCTCAGCAAGCGCAACCATTGTTTGCTTAATAACTTTCATGTTTATTATAGCACATTCTTAAAATAATAAATATAGCCTGTGTATTTCTGTTTTCCTAGCAAAATGTATGGATAGTATGCATACATTTGAATCATTTTCCCATCGATCGTGGCCAAGTATTTAATATGTTGTTACCGCAGTTTTAATGTTGCTTCTAAAGTCTATCTTCATTGAGTTATAGAATCGAATCAAAAATGAATATGTTTTCGTCAAATCAAGTTTAAAAAACCCATAACTAAGCCAAAAGTGCATTAATTTCAATTCGGAAAGCGAAACGACTCCTTCAATGAATTTAAGGTTCTGAATGAAACTACATTACCCTCAATAAGAGTGTAAATGTCGATCAATAAAATCACTGCATATTCATAAAATGTAAATGCATTTCTTGAGACGATTTCTCTTATTGTTTCATTTTAACAAATTTTCACTTAACTTTTAGGGCGTTTAGGTGTTGCTAGAACATAATTATGAAACTGCCTGGGGCGCAGTTTCGATCGTTTGCTCCTGATGAAAATCTCTATCTCGTGCTGACCACTGCCTCCTTCCGCGCGGCGTCCTGCAGTAGTTGCGTGTCCACCTCGTCGCCCGGCAGCTGCACGTACCGCACCACGGACCCGCGGATGAAGCAGTTCTTAACGCTGAGCATGTGCGGGTATTTGTCTGGATCGGTGACACTAATGTCCGTCAACTTGATGTTCAGATACTGGTCCACAGAATGCAGGGTGCCGCATATGCTACAGAACGACGTATTAATTAATATCAACTAAATATATTTGCCGGCAAAAACACGCGTCGCGATGCTTTAAGCCATCGTTGCTCACCTCAGGTCGTTCTTGAGTTCCACGACTACTTCTTTCCCCACCAGCGACTTGAAAAACGAGTAGAAAAGCTGTAGGTGGCAAAAACGAGTTCAATTAGTTTATAACTCGTCAATTAATGCAATTTCTTACCATTGTTATTGTTATTTAGTTTTAATGCAAAACTCAACAATGTGCCCGCAACCTTTTCGGTTAAAAATATTACAGGCTTTTTTTATAAAATCTAGATTCTCTTTCTCAACGACATCTGGCCACTCTATGGTTCAAATCGTTACTTTACTATAAACTTTATAGCAAATGGTTGATAACATTGGTATTCGCTAAAATTTAAAAATACCGAATGGTTGCAAGCTCGGCTGCAAAAATAACCCGCCAAAAGATTTTGTTGAATAATTAGCAGAGTTTTGAATCTATTATTTGGTACAAAATTGTTAATACATTTGTGCGATGAGTAAATCCTCGATCTGCTGCCAGAAGGCGACAACGACATATTAATATCGAATAATTTGTCAAATTCTAGCGACTTCCGAAAAGTCACCGAGATAATGCTTTGAGATTTTCAATGATAATAAGTGAAAATAAAACTTTGAGTTAAAACATGTTTTGCCACAGAGTAATTTTCGGGTATTTATTTCCGGCCCAAACCAGCGTGCTAGCACTGAACAGTGCTACAATATTTTTTGAACCGCGAAAGTATGCAATTAAAAACGTAAGAGTAGCTAAATTGTCTGGTCATATAATGGTGCATCTTTTAGGCTGTTTTGATTGGCAGTAGGCGGAAGTTCAATTACTTATCACACTCTTGTTTTGAGTCTAAACCGCACACTTTGAATACCTACAACAACAACAATGTTATATTTATAATTCGGGCGTATATTTACACTTGTGCGTGCACGTAATTTGTTGGAAGTCTCTTGCGACCCAATATGTTTTGCACCGCGAAAGTATGCAATTAAAAACGTAAGAGTGGTTAAGTTGTCTGGTCATATAAAGGTGCATCTTTTAGGCTGTTTTGATTGGCAATAAGCGGAAGTTCAATTACATATCACACTCTTGTATTGAGTCTAAACCGGACACTTTGAATGCCTACAACAACAACAATGTTATATTTATAATTCGGGCGTATATTTGCACTTGTGCGTGCACGTAATTTGTCGGAAGTCTCTTGCGACCCAATATGTTTTGCACCGCGAAAGTATGCAATTAAAAACGTAAGAGTGGTTAAGTTGTCTGGTCATATAAAGGTGCATCTTTTAGGCTGTTTTGATTGGCAATAAGCGGAAGTTCAATTACATATCACACTCTTGTTTTGAGTCTAAACCGGACACTTTGAATACCTACAACAACAACAATGTTATATTTATAATTCGGGCGTATATTTACACTTGTGCGTGCACGTAATTTGTTGGAAGTCTCTTGCGACCCAATATGTTTTGCACCGCGAAAGTATGCAATTAAAAACGTAAGAGTGGTTAAGTTGTCTGGTCATATAAAGGTGCATCTTTTAGGCTGTTTTGATTGGCAATAAGCTGAAGTTCAATTACTTATCACACTCTTGTATTGAGTCTAAACCGGACACTTTGAATGCCTACAACAACAACAATGTTATATTTATAATTCGGGCGTATATTTGCACTTGTGCGTGCACGTAATTTGTCGGAAGTCTCTTGCGACCCAATATGTTTTGCACCGCGAAAGTATGCAATTAAAAACGTAAGAGTGGTTAAGTTGTCTGGTCATATAAAGGTGCATCTTTTAGGCTGTTTTGATTGGCAATAAGCGGAAGTTCAATTACATATCACACTCTTGTATTGAGTCTAAACCGGACACTTTGAATGCCTACAACAACAACAATGTTATATTTATAATTCGGGCGTATATTTGCACTTGTGCGTGCACGTAATTTGTCGGAAGTCTCTTGCGACCCAATATGTTTTGCACCGCGAAAGTATGCAATTAAAAACGTAAGAGTGGTTAAGTTGTCTGGTCATATAAAGGTGCATCTTTTAGGCTGTTTTGATTGGCAATAAGCGGAAGTTCAATTACATATCACACTCTTGTTTTGAGTCTAAACCGGACACTTTGAATACCTACAACAACAACAATGTTATATTTATAATTCGGGCGTATATTTACACTTGTGCGTGCACGTAATTTGTTGGAAGTCTCTTGCGACCCAATATGTTTTGCACCGCGAAAGTATGCAATTAAAAACGTAAGAGTGGTTAAGTTGTCTGGTCATATAAAGGTGCATCTTTTAGGCTGTTTTGATTGGCAATAAGCTGAAGTTCAATTACTTATCACACTCTTGTATTGAGTCTAAACCGGACACTTTGAATGCCTACAACAACAACAATGTTATATTTATAATTCGGGCGTATATTTGCACTTGTGCGTGCACGTAATTTGTCGGAAGTCTCTTGCGACCCAATATGTTTTGCACCGCGAAAGTATGCAATTAAAAACGTAAGAGTGGTTAAGTTGTCTGGTCATATAAAGGTGCATCTTTTAGGCTGTTTTGATTGGCAATAAGCTGAAGTTCAATTACTTATCACACTCTTGTATTGAGTCTAAACCGGACACTTTGAATGCCTACAACAACAACAATGTTATATTTATAATTCGGGCGTATATTTACACTTGTGCGTGCACGTAATTTGTCGGAAGTCTCTTGCGACCCAATATGTTTTGCACCGCGAAAGTATGCAATTAAAAACGTAAGAGTGGTTAAGTTGTCTGGTCATATAAAGGTGCATCTTTTAGGCTGTTTTGATTGGCAATAAGCGGAAGTTCAATTACATATCACACTCTTGTTTTGAGTCTAAACCGGACACTTTGAATACCTACAACAACAACAATGTTATATTTATAATTCGGGCGTATATTTACACTTGTGCGTGCACGTAATTTGTTGGAAGTCTCTTGCGACCCAATATGTTTTGCACCGCGAAAGTATGCAATTAAAAACGTAAGAGTGGTTAAGTTGTCTGGTCATATAAAGGTGCATCTTTTAGGCTGTTTTGATTGGCAATAAGCTGAAGTTCAATTACTTATCACACTCTTGTATTGAGTCTAAACCGGACACTTTGAATGCCTACAACAACAACAATGTTATATTTATAATTCGGGCGTATATTTGCACTTGTGCGTGCACGTAATTTGTCGGAAGTCTCTTGCGACCCAATATGTTTTGCACCGCGAAAGTATGCAATTAAAAACGTAAGAGTGGTTAAGTTGTCTGGTCATATAAAGGTGCATCTTTTAGGCTGTTTTGATTGGCAATAAGCGGAAGTTCAATTACATATCACACTCTTGTTTTGAGTCTAAACCGGACACTTTGAATACCTACAACAACAACAATGTTATATTTATAATTCGGGCGTATATTTACACTTGTGCGTGCACGTAATTTGTTGGAAGTCTCTTGCGACCCAATATGTTTTGCACCGCGAAAGTATGCAATTAAAAACGTAAGAGTGGTTAAGTTGTCTGGTCATATAAAGGTGCATCTTTTAGGCTGTTTTGATTGGCAATAAGCTGAAGTTCAATTACTTATCACACTCTTGTATTGAGTCTAAACCGGACACTTTGAATGCCTACAACAACAACAATGTTATATTTATAATTCGGGCGTATATTTGCACTTGTGCGTGCACGTAATTTGTCGGAAGTCTCTTGCGACCCAATATGTTTTGCACCGCGAAAGTATGCAATTAAAAACGTAAGAGTGGTTAAGTTGTCTGGTCATATAAAGGTGCATCTTTTAGGCTGTTTTGATTGGCAGTAGGCGGAAGTTCAATTACTTATCACACTCTTGTTTTGAGTCTAAACCGGACACTTTGAATGCCTACAACAACAACAATGTTATATTTATAATTCGGGCGTATATTTACACTTGTGCGTGCACGTAATTTGTCGGAAGTCTCTTGCGACCCAATATGTTTTGCACCGCGAAAGTATGCAATTAAAAACGTAAGAGTGGTTAAGTTGTCTGGTCATATAATGGTGCATCTTTTAGGCTGTTTTGATTGGCAATAGGCGGAAGTTCAATTACATATCACAGTCTTGTATTTAGTCTAAACCGGACACTTTGAATGCCTACAACAACAACAATGTTATATTTATAATTAGGGTGTATATTTGCACTTGTGCGTGCACGTAATATGCAATTAAAAACGGAAGAGTGGCTGAACTGTCTTGTCATATAATGATGCATCTTTTGGGCTGAATTAATAAGCAACAGACGGAAGTGCCAATACATAGCACACTATTGCGCTGAATATAAGTAATATAATATAAGTAATGAGTTCAAATGATGGTATTTCTTTTTCCCTGCTCCAAATAATTTCCACACACAATATATCCAGAGGATTAGGTTAAGATGTATATTTTTTGGGGGAACAGATTAAATTGCACTTGCTAATACAATTATTGACTTTAAATTACATTTAATAACAATTTTTTCGGGGACTAAATCTATTTACAAACAAAGGGGCACATTGAGCGCTTTACCACTAAGGGCAATGTGGGCTCTCTAGAGTCTAGACTAACAACAAAATGTTTTGCCACGCCCTTTCATTGCCAAGAATCTTAAAATTTCAATTAGCTTAAAAAAATCACATTTCATGTATCTTGTATCTTGTGTATTCTATCTTCTATGTTGTATCCAACTTAATGACACGCCGCCGCCGAGCTACGTAAAGTGACAGCTGCCGATCGGAGCCTGCTACTCTAACGCTAATAAATTCGTCGCTACGCCTCGACCCAGGTCTGCCATCGTTCCAATCCCGTCCAGCGCCACGCCTAGTGCTCCGAGCTGAAGTACGAGTTCTGCATGAGATACAGCTTGTCGATGGGATTGATCAGGCTGTTGTTTAGGTTGGCCAGCATGTCGTGGGGATTCGAATGCGAGTGCGAGTGCTGGTTGCCGGAGGAGCTGGTTGACTGCAGCTCCAGGTTGTTCAGCGACAGCGAGTCCGCGTCATCGTCCAGCTGGTCGAAGTTGCTCCCGTCCAGCGAGAGGTCCGAGCTGCAGAAACTATCGTTTGAGTTGGCCGGATAATCTGCAAAGGGAGAATCAGTTAATAACAGATTTCAAAGTCTCCCTAGGTATTCACTTACCGTCCGGTGAGAATGGCAAGTTGGGATTCAGCGGCTGGCTGGCAAAGTTGCTATCCAAGCCTCCCAGATATCCCGAGCTGTCGCCGCCCAGTTCCTGTTTGACGCACTTGTCCTCCTTTTCGTTTGACTCCTTGTCATCGGTGGCACTGGAGTTGCCGGTGCCACGGCCGCCAGAGCCGCCGCCGGAGGAGCCGCCGTTCTGCTTGGCCTTGCGCTGGATCTTCTTCATCTTGGCCCGCTGGTTCTGGAACCACACCTGCACCACGCGCACCGACAGACCCGTGTCCTTGGCCAGAGCTTCGCGCACCTTGCGGCAGGGCTTGGGCGACTGGTCGAAGGAGGCCTTGAATTGTTTGCGCTGCTGCGAGGTGAGGATGGTGCGCGGCCGCTTGGGACCCCGCCGCCCATCCCGTGGTCTCAGCAGATCCTCCTCATCCAGGCCGACGAAGCCGCAGTGCTGGGCCGCTGCCGCCGCCAGGAACATCTCCTTCTCGAGGTCGTGGCGATAGCAGAAGAGCTGGCCGTCGCGCAGCAGGAACTGCTCGCCCTTTTGCAGCGGCAGGCGGCAGGCGTAGCACACGAAGCAGGGCAGGTGGAAGACGAAATTGGGAATCGGACGCATCACCAGCTCCTGCGGCAGGATGGCGTGGCAGCAGGAGGCGCACTTGACCCCAAACAGCCGGTCATAGTCCATCTTGCAGTAGAGCTTCGAGTTCCGGACGTAGCAGGTGTGGTGCAGCTGCATGCCGCAGTAGCAGCAGGCCAGGCACTGCTCATGCCAGTTGGCCTCGCCCACGTTCATCAGGAAGCGGTCGTGGATCTTCTGGCCACAGCCCTCGCACAGCTCGAAGTTCTTCTCGCACTTGATGTGGCCCACTTCTGCAAAAGAAAATTAATGGTGGAGAGGGGTTAGGTAAGTTACTAAAGTTAATGCGGTTAAAATAGAGCTCTACTCTTATTTGAATTATAATAATTCTTGAATATTATGTATTGAAAGAGAAAAAGGAATGGATAAGAAAGCATTGCCATATTTATAAGAGTTGTTTTAGAGAGGTTTTCCCCGCTGTTCAGAGTTCGTTTAGTCGCTGTCTTTTCTAGCCAGAGATGGGCGTACGTGGCGTATACGTGATGGCAGCACATGTCGCTGCGAAATTATCATGACATGTGCTGCCGATGGCGCAAGGACCTCGCTGACAATCGAATCGTGTGAAAATGCTTCAGCTTCTCTGCCATTTTCCGCTCAATGTTTCGCCATTTGGCAGAGTCTCGGGGGAAAACAGAAAGAAACTGTTGAGGGAAAAATTATCTGTCGCCGGGCTGCAACAGCTTGTATTGAAAGCTTGTTGATGCGTAATTGAAACGTAAAGTTTTCTGTATTTGTTCGGTATCAGCGGAGAAAGCATCTGCCCCGCTCACCTTTTTATGCTTAGAGCCAGCGACAATGGCTCAATTGATTTTGCCTGCGTCACTGAGTTTAAGCTGATATCCAACGCCGAATTTCTTGCTAAGGATACCTCCATTAGCTGGGCTGGGCTCGGCCCCTTGCCGAGCTCCTAAACGGGAGGAGGATGCCACTAATCCTCTGCCCGTAGAGGCGCTCTTGAAACTGTAAACCAGTCATAAAAAGTAGTACCCGAAAACACAACAAAAGCTGCCTGGCAGAGCAGTAAACATAAAAAATATATGACGACCGCCACGAAAAATGTATGGAAGCATTTGAAAAATGAGCAGCGAGTCGGGGGAAAGTGGAGGGAAGCGAAGAGAAATGGAAATGGGAAACGGGGAAAAGGCAGTGAAGGTGGCGGTGGCGCTGGCGGTAGAGTGGAGTGTTATATTATATGGCTGTGGCTCAGTGGCAGAAAAATGTGCATGATTTATGGTTGGCACAATGGTGCTGCCATAGCCGCCATATCTATGCAGATGTGCGTGTGGTGTATATGTGTGTATAGCATGGATATGGATATGGAGAGCAGGGTATAAGCCAGTGCAGTGCAGCGAAAAGTTGACAATGTCCTCGGGCATTTTTCTGGGTCCTGTTCCATCCGTGCATCCTTCCCTATCCCATTGTGCTGTATCCGTGTCCAATCGCATTGCCGATAAAGGTTTTTGCAACTACGAAACAAAAATCGAGCATGATTCATTTGATTAAGCCTCGGGGGCTGCAACGATTTGAATTTGGCCGCTTTTTTAGAGCTTTGAACATCGATATTGTGACGACAACGTTCGGCTTTCGTTTGTGTAATCTAATCGAAATTTATGGCATTTCGCTGCAGTTTTATGAATGTTTTCTTTTTTTTTGCCGCTCTGTGTATGTCTTTTGTTTTTGCGGCGTTTCTGCATTGTTTCAGCTATCAAAGGACGCTGTCATTGAGGGCCTCTCCGTTTTTTTGGGCGCGAATCTGGTCGAGAAAATCAACAAACATCGGGTGCAAACAGTTTGAACAAGTGCGGCACACTCATGTCAAATACATAGATTAAACAGCAGATAATTCCAAAATCAACTCGCCGATAAACACAGAAAAATATATAGAGCCCACTAATAGATGACAGCGTCGAAAGTGTCCTCGGCCTTATCGGTGATAAAGGGGCTTATCTGGCCACAGCGCCCCTCGATTGCCGCACTATATGGTGCATTTATTGACACATTGACAGGCAGGCGGAGGGCTATGGAGATAAATCGGGAGACGGCACAGACAGTCCAACTCTGGTTCCCGACTCCCAGCAGTAATTCGGGCTAACTGCCAACAGGAGTCCGGGTCCCCGGGTCCGGTCCACGTGCCACGTGGATTTTGGCAGCAGTTCAGCATTGACAGACAGCTCATGATGGGACAGCTTTAATTACGGCTGACAACGCGGTCTTTAAAACTTCCAGGTAATACAGATACAGGCAGAAAAAATTGCTTCAATCAATTATATTCCAAATATACGGAAATATAAAAACAGACAATTTTTTTGAAAAATCTAAGTTTTTCGGACATCATAATTAAGCCGAAATTGCATTAATTTTAATTCGGAAAGCTGTTCTGTGCTAGTTTTTATTGTACTTTTTAATTTGCATACTGCGTTTGTTGATGCTATTGTTAGTTTTTAAATAAAATTATAAAACCTTGCAAAAAGGTATAAAAACAGGCAATTTTGTCCGAAAATCATAGTTTAAAAAATGCATAACTAAGCCAAAAAATCATTGGTTTCAATTCGGAAAGCTGTTCTATGCTAAGTTTTAATAGATTAACAAATCTGCATACTCAGTTTTCAAATTTAAAAGATTCCATTTTTTGTCAAATTTTGACAATTTTAATGATGTAACCCCTTATGAAATTTTCAATTTTCGGAAAAATCTTAAAAATTTATTTTTTGACCGGACATGGCTAGATCGATTCAGCGTTTGATGCTGATCAAGAATATATATGGTTTGTAGGGTCGGAAATGATTCATTCACAGCGTATTAAGCTTCTGACTTAAATTATACCCAACAAAAATGGTATAAAAACAGACAATTTTTTTGAAAAATCTAAGTTTTTCGGACATCATAATTAAGCCGAAATTGCATTAATTTTAATTCGGAAAGCTGTTCTGTGCTGGTTTTTATTGTACTAATCAATCTGCATACTGCGTTTGTTGATGCTATTGTTAGTTTTTAAATAAAATTATAAAACCTTGCAAAAAGGTATAAAAACAGGCAATTTTCTCAGAAAATCATAGTTTAAAAAATGCATAACTAAGCCAAAAAATCATTGGTTTCAATTCGGAAAGCTGTTCTATGCTAAGTTTTAATAGATTAACAAATCTGCATACTCAGTTTTCAAATTTAAAAGATTCCATTTTTTGTCAAATTTTGACAATTTTAATGATGTAACCCCTTATGAAATTTTCAATTTTCGGAAAAATCTTAAAAATTTATTTTTTGACCGGACATGGCTAGATCGATTCAACTTTTGATGCTGATCAAGAATATATATGGTTTGTATGGTCGGAAATGATTCATTCACAGCGTAACAAGCTTCTGACTTAAATTATACCCAACGAAAAAGGTATAAAAACAGACAATTTTTTTAAAAATCTAAGTATTTCGGACATCATAATTAAGCCGAAAATGCCTTAATTTTAATTCGGAAAGCTGTTCTGTGCTGGTTTTTATTGTACAATTTAATCTGCATACTGCGTTTGTTGATGCTATTGTTAGTTTTTAAATAAAATTATAAAACCTTGCAAAAAGGTATAAAAACAGGCAATTTTCTCAGAAAATCATAGTTTAAAAAATGCATAACTAAGCCAAAAAATCATTGGTTTCAATTCGGAAAGCTGTTCTATGCTAAGTTTTAATAGATTAACAAATCTGCATACTCAGTTTTCAAATTTAAAAGATTCCATTTTTTGTCAAATTTTGACAATTTTAATGATGTAACCCCTTATGAAATTTTCAATTTTCGGAAAAATCTTAAAAATTTATTTTTTGACCGGACATGGCTAGATCGATTCAGCGTTTGATGCTGATCAAGAATATATATGGTTTGTAGGGTCGGAAATGATTCATTCACAGCGTATTAAGCTTCTGACTTAAATTATACCCAACAAAAATGGTATAAAAACAGACAATTTTTTTGAAAAATCTAAGTTTTTCGGACATCATAATTAAGCCGAAATTGCATTAATTTTAATTCGGAAAGCTGTTCTGTGCTGGTTTTTATTGTACTAATCAATCTGCATACTGCGTTTGTTGATGCTATTGTTAGTTTTTAAATAAAATTATAAAACCTTGCAAAAAGGTATAAAAACAGACAATTTCTCAGAAAATCATAGTTTAAAAAATGCATAACTAAGCCAAAAATCATTGGTTTCAATTCGGAAAGCTGTTCTATGCTAAGTTTTAATAGATTAACAAATCTGCATACTCAGTTTTCAAATTTAAAAGATTCAATATTTTGTCAAATTTTGACAATTTTAATGATGTAACCCCTTATGAAATTTTCAATTTTCGGAAAAATCTTAAAAATTTATTTTTTGACCGGACATGGCTAGATCGATTCAGCTTTTGATGCTGATCAAGAATATATATGGTTTGTAGGGTCGGAAATGATTCATTCACAGCGTAACAAGCTTCTGACTTAAATTATACCCAACGAAAAAGGTATAAAAACAGACAATTTTTTTAAAAATCTAAGTATTTCGGACATCATAATTAAGCCGAAAATGCCTTAATTTTAATTCGGAAAGCTGTTCTGTGCTGGTTTTTATTGTACAATTTAATCTGCATACTGCGTTTGTTGATGCTATTGTTAGTTTTTAAATAAAATTATAAAACCTTGCAAAAAGGTATAAAAACAGGCAATTTTCTCCGAAAATCATAGTTTAAAAACTGCATAACTAAGCCAAAAAATCATTGATTTTAATTCGGAAAGCTGTTCTATGCTAAGTTTTAATAGATTAACAAATCTGCATACTCAGTTTTCAAATTTAAAAGATTCCATTTTTTGTCAAATTTTGACAATTTTAATGATGTAACCCCTTATGAAATTTTCAATTTTCGGAAAAATCTTAAAAATTTATTTTTTGACCGGACATGGCTAGATCGATTCAGCTTTTGATGCTGATCAAGAATATATATGGTTTGTAGGGTCGGAAATGATTCATTCACAGCGTAACAAGCTTCTGACTTAAATTATACCCAACGAAAAAGGTATAAAAACAGACAATTTTTTTTAAAAATCTAAGTATTTCGGACATCATAATTAAGCCGAAAATGCCTTAATTTTAATTCGGAAAGCTGTTCTGTGCTGGTTTTTATTGTACAATTTAATCTGCATACTGCGTTTGTTGATGCTATTGTTAGTTTTTAAATAAAATTATAAAACCTTGCAAAAAGGTATAAAAACAGACAATTTTCTCCGAAAATCATAGTTTAAAAAATGCATAACTAAGCCAAAAAATCATTGATTTTAATTCGGAAAGCTGTTTTATGCTAAGTTTTAATAGATTAACAAATCTGCATACTCAGTTTTCAAATTTAAAAGATTCAATTTTTTGTCAAATTTTGACAATTTTAATGATGTAACCCTTATGAAATTTTCAATTTTCGGAAAAATCTTAAAAATTTATTTTTTGACCGGACATGGCTAGATCGATTCAGCTTTTGATGCTGATCAAGAATATATATGGTTTGTAGGGTCGGAAATGATTCATTCACAGCGTAACAAGCTTCTGACTTAAATTATACCCAACGAAAAAGGTATAAAAACAGACAATTTTTTTAAAAATCTAAGTATTTCGGACATCATAATTAAGCCGAAAATGCCTTAATTTTAATTCGGAAAGCTGTTCTGTGCTGGTTTTTATTGTACAATTTAATCTGCATACTGCGTTTGTTGATGCTATTGTTAGTTTTTAAATAAAATTATAAAACCTTGCAAAAAGGTATAAAAACAGGCAATTTTCTCCGAAAATCATAGTTTAAAAAATGCATAACTAAGCCAAAAATCATTGATTTTAATTCGGAAAGCTGTTCTATGCTAAGTTTTAATAGATTAACAAATCTGCATACTCAGTTTTCAAATTTAAAAGATTCCATTTTTTGTCAAATTTTGACAATTTTAATGATGTAACCCCTTATGAAATTTTCAATTTTCGGAAAAATCTTAAAAATTTATTTTTTGACCGGACATGGCTAGATCGATTCAGCTTTTGATGCTGATCAAGAATATATATGGTTTGTAGGGTCGGAAATGATTCATTCACAGCGTAACAAGCTTCTGACTTAAATTATACCCAACGAAAAAGGTATAAAAACAGACAATTTTTTTTTAAATCTAAGTATTTCGG